TTCAACAAAAGCACTGAATTATCAAGATTAATATTTTCATGTCACCATAGCAGGAAAAGAAAGCATCTGGATGAGTTTCCTTCACATTTAGAGGAGTGTTTGGTGTCTGTTATGAGGCTTAAAATATATGCTCTGTGGCTTGGGGAGATTCTCAAGAGGACTGAACCTGAGGTTTGAGACTCAAGGGATTGTTGAAAAGACAATCTTTGTGGATAAAGCTGTCTTTAACAGACAATTCAGGCGGTGGTTTCAAATATAACCTCCAAATTGACGGTACTAAGATAGATGTTCCAAATGAGGGTGTTGATTTTCAATCAAGGTACACCTTGAGTGGGAAACTCCATGAAGTAGGTTCAGAATGAACTGCAGATAGAATTTATTTTTTTTAAAGATCAGAAAGACCAACTAGTACTAGATTGAAAGTGAATAAACCTACTTAAAACTTTAATATAACATCATTTCATTATAGACTTAAAAAATCATACCTCAAGTGATGGTCATGTTTCCATAGTATTTTATTCAATGGAGGTTACTACTTCAAACAGAATTGTTCTGAAGTTATCAAGGACTTAAAAGGTTAACAGCACAGGCTGTGGAGATGTTCAGCCTTATGACAAAAACAAAAACAAAAAAAAACCAATAAAACCCAAAACAACAACAACAACAAAAAACTTATGCTCTCAGCTAGTCTGGAAAAGTGAAAAGAACTTATAAAAGGGGGACTCTTACACAGAATCCAATTCAAAACAGAGGAAAAAAGGAAAGAAGGAGAATGACTGCTATTCCTATTTCAAATTTCTCTCCATGTGTGGAGCTCACATCTCTTTGCAAAGTGGTATAGACTACGGTGCAATGAAATCAGAACCTTGTGATCTATTTGATCTTGATTTGCAGGAGGCGTTGAAACACTCAATCCACCTGATTGCCATTGCTATTTTAGTGACAGATTAACTAAGAGGTGTTTCCTGATTTCTGAAAAGCCCTAAAAGAAAACTAAGGTTGGGGAGGGGCAGAGGGAAACCCTCTATGAGTGAAAAAAGCTTCATTATTAGACTTTATATTCTGGAGTGGGATCTGACAGTGACCTTGATAATATCCCTAGAAATCAACTAAGTAACAGATTTTCAAAATCATCTCTTTCTCCATTTCCCAAGGTCATAATGGCAATGCCTCACCTGAAAACACTAAGTACCCATTGCCTGAAAAATTATAACAATTGGATTTCAGAAAGGGTTTTCAATTTTAAATAAAATGTCTATATCACCAGAGCCTGATATCTCTTATTAGGCCTTGCCTCGTTTTTTTTTTTCAAGTACTGGGTGTTATGATTTTTTGCAAAGTCACTCTGGAATAGTCTTTGTAGAAGAGAATAGAATTTTACTGCATAAAGAGACCTTAAAATTCACCTGATGTGCCCTCTCCCTCACCATAATTCTGGAGATGAGAAAACGGAGCCCCAAGAGCCTGAGGCAGAGGAGGTACTGTGTCTGGATCCCAAGTCTCTAGCCCTCCAGGGCTTTCACACTCCCCTAAGCCATCATGCATTAGTTTAGGATCAAAACATTTAATCCTTTAGCTCATCCAGAATCCTTTTAGTAGTGTTACACAGTCAAACTGTTGTATTATGTTTTCTCTTTTATGCTCATTAAGACACAGTTCGGGGGAAAAGAGTGGGTCTCACTACTGACTCTTTGTGGCAGTAAGAGAAAAACGTTTTTAACAGTGAAGTTTGAGATTTGAATGTTCAGTGTTTCTAATTCAATGCTGTCAGCGACACTGACTTCTACTAGTTATTTAGCACATATGAATCATGTTATAGTTTCAAAATAGTTTTCTATCAATAGTAACTCCTTAGCATGAATCAGGCTAGTTTTATTATTCCCTCCTCTCCAAAACAGCTTTCCTGGGCACATCATATTTGGTGAATGTAATTAGTTGTCCAGATGCTTAGCTGTCTGAACTCCTAAAGTCTGCCTGGTTCCAGACAAAGCTGTAGATTAAGGGTAGGGACAGTTTTACCTCTGGGGTTTCTGGTTGCCAAGGACAAAGTTGGAGATGGGCAATGGATGGATTTGGGAAGATGCAGAAGGACAATCTGCTTTCATTGATGACAACGAAAGAGTTGTCTAGCTCTACCTCATCCCAAGTCCAAGTCTGGGGAGACCCTGCTGCATTCTAGGAATCTGTTACAGTGTAGGGCAGGATAAAGGGGGGCAGACGAGCTATTGGCAGGGTTCAGTGTATCCCCGACTGAGCCCTTACCTCAAGCAGCAACCCATGGGATTACTTTCAATCAGGAATACACCAGCACTGCTGTTCCCAGTTGCTTTGACAAGAGGGGACACTTTGAGTGATTCTGAGCCTGAACCCAGAGGCAATTCCAAACCTGGAATAAGAACAAGGCTCTCCTTGGGCATGACTCAAATGGAAAAGCTTTTTGAATCACAACATTTGAATCTGAGTCACTTGCCAGTCTTTTCTTTTTCCTATAAAGGCACTTTAAGCACTGAGGTCTAAAGTAGGCCTTTTGATTCTCAGCCTTTCCCCTCTCAGCAAACTTCCATCTCAACCACCCCACAGAAACAGTAAGATTTCCTTCAGATATTGGTTTTGAAGAAAGACCACTTCATACAAGCATGTTTGGGGAGATTTGAGGGCTTGGGAGAGTCACTAGAAATTCCTGTCAGTTCAGGCTGTAAAGCTGTCCCTATGCCTGGGACACATGGCTTGCCAGATGGTCCCATAAATATGATTGCTCTCACCTTTTCTCTTCCTCCTTTCATGTTAAAACTTCTGATTTACCAGCAACTTCAGGGGAGTTAAGACAAATGAAATCTAACAGAAGTTCTGACCTTCCATTGCCACCAATGCACTGATGATGCATCGTCACGAATTATATTTTTAGAGACTTGCAAGTGTTATATTGGGCCCGCTCGTATTTAGGTCATGCTCTCCACCTCCCCCAAAGCTCTCTCATTTTTAAAAGAACTTCTGAGCCTCTACAACCATACTTCCAAGAAATTCTTAGTCACCTAAACTTACATATCTCATACTACTGTTTAACTCTGTCCTCTTGATTCCCAAAGTTCTGCCTAATGGACCTTGAACTCTAATACCTAAATTTCATACCTATAGGAAAAGCTGAATGTAAGATTCCAACACACTCACCCTTTTAAATTCTTTCCCAGTTTCAGCCTCTTCATTATCTTGTGTGTCCCATAGTCCTCTTTCCTCTGTCTCCCTATATGATCTCAAGTCTTCATGTTATCAGATGAGGGGATGGATGGTCTTCATCACTTAGGGTATAACCCCTTTTCCACATAAGAGCCATTTATGTAGCCACATACCTTTTGGAGCTTTCCTTCCTTCATCTCCAAACCCCCACCTCCCCAAAATGAACCATTCTAAGCTTTCTTACCCATTCCTGGTAGTTTCATATATCATCTGGTATCTCATGTCTCTCACTGCTCTAGTAAGTAGGTGGGCAGGTTGGGCATCATGGCAAGATGGTGTCAAGGAGCTTACACATGTTTTTGCATTATAATAAAATGTGCAATTAAGTGTAGACTTAGGGGTCAAATTCTAATAGAATTATCTTTTTGCTCGGAGAATTCAGTGGTCATATTTCGGAATGGTTTGTTACCAAAATCTGCTGCTGTAAGGGAGGCTGTTGGCTCCATTGTTTCAAGTTGGGGTTATGTGTTTCTTTTTATCTGAATCAGAAGGAACCAAGAAAGTAACTAATGGAAATAAGGAAATGAAATTTGAAAGATAGGGACTGTTAACAGCAATAGACTGGAAAAGGAAAACATTAAGCTAAGAAACAGCACAAAGTGCAGGTATGAAACAGCAATGCCACATGAAAATGTAAGCAATTGTGTATGGACAATTCAGGGGAAATGACTCTGAAAACAAATCTGGTTACTGGAGCTTTGGGTTGCTGGGCAGGGGGAAATACCTGGAAAATAAAGTCATCTACTGTCTTCCTCACTGTATTCTTAGCACCCAGCACAGTGCATATTTGTGTACAAAATATAACACTGGCTGAACTATCCACTGTTTTCACAGAAACTATACGTGTCTGTGACACAGTCACTTCCATGCCTCTCAGGCCATATCTATGGCAGGATTCGTGGGGAAAATGACCTGACTTAAAGGAATGTGTGGGGCTTCGACTGGCACAGTTTATCTGGCTACGTAGAGGGTGGAAAACGCGAAGAAGGAAACAGCTCATTTGAGCAGCTATGAGACCACCTTTGAAGTATGTCTTTTACATTATTGTCTGCCAGCTCCTGCCCAACTTCTGTCTCCACCTCGTCCACCCGAGGCAACGGAGGAGTTAGCCAGGGGGAGTTCTGTTGTAACAGGGAAGTCTCTTGAGGGCAGTAGTCTCCTCTCCCTTGGCGTCTCTCGCCTGCACCTGCCGCGCTGCCCCTCCAGCCTCTGCAAAGATGCGGAGGTCGAAGCACGTTGCTGTGCGGTGCTGAAATGCTCCCAGATTCCGCCTCGCGCTCCTGGTCCCTAACACCAACCGGGATCCTGGGAATACCTCTAGCATCCCTGTGGGTGTTCCCGTTCCTTCCTTAGATTTGCCTCCTCCCCAGCTCCAGGCCCGCTACTCCGGCCCATGCCCGCCACTTGAGGGGCGTCCCAGGCTCCACGCCCCGGGCCACCCGGCAGCGCGGGCCGGGCGGGGAGGGGGAGGGGCGGAAGGCGGGAAGCCGAGTCGGGGGCGCGGGAGCCGGCGCGCCACGGTGCCCCGCGCGGGATTTGTCGCTTTCAGCTGCAGCAGCTGCAGCGGCGGCGGGAAGAGGGGTGGAGGGTGGTGAGAAGGGCTGGAACTCCAGGAGAGGGGAGGGGGCGCCAGGCTGTGCCAGGAACGCCGGAGGGGTGCTCCGCGCTCCCCCGCCCTCCTTCCGGGAGCGAGGATGCAGACTCTGAAACTGGCGCTGCTGGGCTGAGGCGGAGGCAGGGGAGTTGCAGCGCGCGGCTCGGTGAGTGTGTCTCCTGAGCGCGGAGAGGCGGGGGAGGCGGAGGACGAGCCGGGGGAGGGGAGGGGGTGGCGGAGGAGGAGGAGAAGGGGGAGAATGCCCGGAGCCGCCGCCGCTGCCGCTGCCGCCGCCGCGATGCTCCCGGCTCAGGAGGCTGCGAAGCTGTACCACACCAACTATGTGCGGAACTCTCGGGCCATCGGCGTGCTGTGGGCCATCTTCACCATCTGCTTTGCCATCGTCAACGTGGTGTGCTTCATCCAGCCCTACTGGATCGGCGACGGCGTGGACACCCCGCAAGCCGGCTATTTCGGGCTCTTCCACTACTGCATCGGCAACGGCTTCTCCCGGGAGCTGACCTGCAGGGGCAGCTTCACGGACTTCTCCACGCTGCCCTCGGGCGCCTTCAAAGCCGCCTCCTTCTTCATCGGCCTCTCCATGATGCTCATCATCGCCTGCATCGTTTGCTTTACCCTCTTCTTCTTCTGCAACACGGCGACCGTGTACAAGATCTGTGCCTGGATGCAGCTCACCTCCGGTGAGTGCGCGCTCACCTCCGCGGAGGCGGGGGTACCCTGGGGCGCCCGAGCCGGAGGGGCGGGAGTGGGAGGGACCGGGCTGTGAGCGCCGCTGGGTGCCGAGCAACTTAATCCTCTCGGGCTTGGGGGGTGTGGGTGGCGCGAGCCCCGGGAGGCCGGAATCCCCGGGGTTCGCCAGCCCCACCACAAGCCTATCGTCCTGGGGATTTCGAGAACCTCCCAAGTGCGGGGACGCCACCCAGAGGGACCCGCTAAAGGCAGGGCGGTTGCTGGGCCGAGTCCGCTCAGAACTCAAGATTAGAAGAACCTGCCGCTTAGGGCGCGTGCCGAGGGACTAAACAGGGACTGACACAGCGAGGCGAAAAGCGGATTTGGAGAGGTTGTAGTTGAAGGAGAGTCAGCCTGCTCTGTCCGTCTCTGGGACTGTTTCTGTCATTGGCTCATGAGGGGGGTGTGTGTGTGTGTGTGTGTGTGTGATGGGGGTGGGGGGGTGGTGGTGGCTGGACTGGAATTGTTTCTGTCTGTCCCTGGCAGTTATACAAATTTTTATCATGCATTTGGAAATGAAAAAATCCTAATTGTTTTGGGTTACACCCTTTTAAGAAGAATGTCGCTTAGAATGTCCCTTAGCAGTTCCCTAATGTCAAGTCTTCAATTGGCTTCCATTCCATCTTTAAACAGGGAGGTCTTGCGGGAATCAAGGTCTCATTTTTGGGAAGTGGCTTTAAGGAGCTGGGCAGAGAGGAAAACCTGTTTCATTAGCATCTCTGATCACTCTTTGCCTGTTGTGATACATTGTTGCTAGCTGGAGAATAAGAAGGTATTTTTTTTCTGAGTATCAAACTTACTTTTAAACCTAGGAAGGATGGGGGTGCATTTCCTGGTGGCTTTGGAGAGTCCTGAAACTAAACTGACCCCTTTCTCTCCCTGCGGTGCAGCCCTATCCCTCTGCTAGCCGGCCGCGGTGCCCAGCCTTCTAAAGGCAAACTCCACTCTGACACTGGACACCTTCACGCGCCAGCGTTGTCTAGGTCCTTTTGCTTTTACGGATGGTCTGATGTGGGGGAATAGAGGGTGTCTCAGGCAGCCAATTTTCTCATTTGTGTTTTGTTTTATTTGGTAGTTTTCATACTTCAAAGATGTTACCTTTAAATTTTTCTAGTTACTCCTATGGTTGGGAAGGTTTTCTGGGGAGTAGGGATTTGATCCCCGAGTTTACCGGAGTGTCTTAAAGGCGCTGAGCAAGAGAGATAAGGCTCATGATTTTATATGACTCGTTTAATGTAAGAGAAGCTTGTGGGAAACTAAACTAGTATGGAAGTACTTGTTTTGTATTAAGTGTGTCTGGGCTGATTTTGATTTGTCATGAGCTGTGACGGTCCCCCATGGAGAGGCAAGTCAAGAGCACCAGTAGAGAACCCCCCCACCCCATACACCACTATTCTGAAATGTAAGAGTTCTTTGCTTTACCTTCTGTCCTTCCACTCCCAACTTCTTGGAGAACCCTCCACCACACACACTGTGTTTTTATATATAATGTAAATGCTTATGGCCATTTCAAGGGCAGACTAACTTTGAGATTTGGAATAAATTCATGCATTAAGTTGCTCTTGATATTTAACTCTGATTTGACTTTGAAGACATTGAGGATGCAGATCTTTTAGAAAAAGAATTGACCTTGCACAGCTAATTTTAATTTTTCTAAGTTAAATGACCTATTTAGACTGTTGATTTAAATTAGATTGTTTTTCAAAGGCCTGAAAGTAATTTGCAGGTGATTTATCAACACATTTCTAAATATTTTATTTTTATGAGATTTTTTTTTTACTCTAAACCTAAGTTGTTTTTTTCTTTTAAAGGAAGGAAAACTATCTTTGAGAAGGAATTACTAGCTTTGAAGTTAATACAAACTGCAACTGTTACAATGATTTTTTTACTTTCCTCTTTCTGGAATGAGCACACAAAGATCATTTAGTGAAATAGAAAATACAATGTCATGTTTTCAGAAATTTGACATAAATATACTACCCTGTTTCCTATATGTCAATGTAAAAATGATAGCCTTGTACTAAAGGAGATATAAGGACATTTACTTCATTTTTGGAGCAGTACAGATCCTTAAGTTCTAGGCATACTTTTTTAAAGCCTTTATTTACAATTTATTTGGTATTTTACTTCTAGATAAACCACAGAAAGACATAAGTTTATTTATTCATGAAGTATATTAATTAAAGAAGAATGGATTACGATGACTGGGCAATTAAGCATCAGTCGACTATATTCACAGATTTGTAAGGAATGGGGTATAGAAGATATTTCTGAAGAATGTCACATTTAATGTGTTTTGTGGGTTTTTAAGTCTCATGACACTAACAAGAAATTTAACATAATGTAAGTTACTTTTAAAGTTTAGTTTCTAACTTTAAGACTATTCTTCTTTAATGTTAAGACTTCTCATACTTGTAACTGTACCAAAGCTAATCTCAAATGTAATGTGCTACTATGCAAGATGAGACTTAATGCACCATTTGCTTGTTAGAGGCTGTTTAAGCCTCATTGAAGGTCAAATGATTAACTTGTATATTTAGTTATCTAGGCATTTTAATATAGTAATGTCATTAATTAGAACCAGGTAGAATATAAAATCCCATATGGAATGATACACTAAAATGATGAAGCAGGAGTCTCTTGTGGCAATACAACATCAAGAATTATTCTTTTTATGATTCTGAACAATGAACTAAAGAAAGTACTTAGTTTATTGGACCTGAAAATGATGTTGCTCTTCTATCTAAATGTGTAAAGCACATATAATTAATGGTGCTATTATGAGCACCTGCCCTCACTCTCCCCTCTAAATCATTATTAACCTCAGTGGAGTGAAACTACAGAATTAGGAGCTGATTTGTCACCAGTGCTGTTGGCTCTAATCCTATACTTATGGACTATACCTGATATGAAGACTGAAGACAGAAAACTAATACATAAAATAAATAATAACAGAGATGCGAAATTTCCAAACCTACAGAGAGCTTTTTGAGAAGAAAAGAGAGACTTTTTTTCTTTCTGGATTATTTAACACCGGAAGAAAAGAAGTAGGTTTGTCATTGGTCATGGATAATAAAATCATGGGTAATAAAGCTCAGATTAAAAAAAAAAATCCAGATAGGAAGGGAGTTTTGTCTCTCTGGGAACTTGATTCTCTGCTTCCCGGGTTTTGTCCTTCAAACAGTATTTCAGTCTGTTTCCAAGTCTCCAAAAGGTGTTTGTTTGACTGACTATAAGCTATATATTGAGTTGTTTTCAGAAGCCCAAGTGTTAACCATTATAGACCAAAGAAATCTTTTATTTTTTTTAATAAGCTAATGCATTGAGGCAGAAATGAACTTTTTTTTTTAAAGACACCTACAATGGGCTTCTTGGTTTAGGGCAGCAGATGAGGAGGTCCTCTCTTTTATGTGAAGAAGGGCCACCTGATCCAACTTGGATTTCCTTATTCAGGTGGGACAAGGATAGGAGAAGGGGTTTCATTCACCAGGTACCTTATCTCTTGTCTTTCTAAGTGTACCAGCCAACAAGGGCCACCAAGATGGTGAAATGAGAATCTCTAGAGGTAATCATTGCATTTTGTAGCCTACAAGACCAGCCTTCGTAATGTTATACCATCCTATCTAGTGGCCCCTTGCTCTTTTTTTTAAAATATATCTTATGAGCATTTGAGATTACAAATGTTTGTGTGTTTATTTGAATACTATCTGTCTTTTCCAAAACACTGAAAGTTCCATGAAGTCATGTCTGTTTTTCTTCATATAGCATAGAGGTCAAGATCATGGACACTAGAGTAAAAAATGCAGGTCTGAACCCTGACTCTGACACTCATTGACTGTGTGACCTGGGGACTTAATCTCTCTGCTTCAGTTGCTTACCTGCAAAGTGGGCATATAATTGTGTATATCTCAGGAGATTGGTACAAGGATTAAATGAGCTATACTGATAACAGTACCTGGCACATAGTAAACAAGCACTATTTAAGAGTTAGGTTTGGTGACTGTTCTTGTGTTATTATCATTATTGCTATACTCTGTCACGCAGTAGTGTGTCTGGCACATAGTAGGTATTCAATAAATTTTTGTTGAGTTAATGAGTAAAAAAAACAACAACAAATGAATGACTAATGGGGCAAATAAAAGGAGAAAGGAGTGACTTAAAATTTCCCACATGCCATGTTGAAAAGTGAATCCAATATACTTTGAAAGCCCTGGTGCTCATCTTTCTCATTGGTTTATGGCATTGGCAGTAATTGCACTAGAGGAACTCTTCCAAAATTCTTTGATGACAATGGTTGTGACTTGACAGCCTAATTCATGATGATCTTATTCTCATATCGAGGCTTTCTGTGATGCATAGGTAATGATCTTCATTACAACACTGGGATGGAATCAATTATACAGAGAGGGCCAAAACAATGTATACACATTTTAAGAAAGGAAAACTATATTAAAATTGTAATACTCAATGTGTACCAAAAACAAAAGATGAATACAAGTCATGTTTGACTACTGCAATTATAAGAGGCACTCAAAGTGGTTACCATCAGCATCCAGACACTTCTGATTACGGCAAACTATGGCTTGAGCAACGTTGACCAAAGTGTTCACTTATGTACCTTTTTTTGGCTCCCCTGGTATCTTAGAATTCAGCAAATTTCCCTTTACCATTTAGTTTCTCATGAAAAAAAATCACATTATTCAAAATGTAGTTTTTATGTAAGAATCAAAAGATCAGGCCTTTTTTCATAAGCGCGGGACCCATTTTCAGGTTGGATTTCCTTAAGTGCCTTCAGGAACAATTTGGACAGATGAGGATGTGACTTCTAGATTTCCCATTTCTCCTTTCTGGGCATTGTGCAGATGTGCAGAGAGCCTGGCAGGCCTGCTCAGATGGGTGGCCCTGTGTGTGTGCAGTGCTCTGATGTGGGTGCCCAGAAAAGGGGACAAGG